TGACATAAGCTCTAAAAACGTTTGAGATTTTCAATAACTAAAAACCAGTGTATGTAACATGATTGTATTTGCATTTACTTGTACTTGACCGTAGTAATCACATTTGTACCAGTTCTATCTGTTCAGCCTAACCGAGTCATTTGCAATTGATCACGTGATAAGCCTGGAACAGCTACTCATTTGACATGGCTATCATATACCAAACGAAGCAAGAGGAGTCAATGTAGTTTAGGACGAGCGTTCGAAGGTAACCAATGCAATTTACATGAGCACTTTCTGTTTTTTTCACATTTTCCGTCTTATTGTTCATATTTATAATTTGACAAGTGTTGCCATGAAAACCATTCAGGGATAATTCTTATAAGTCATATATAAGGTATTGGAATTAGGTCTGAAAACTGCGTTTGAAGTTTGCAATAACCAAAAATCAATGTATGTAACATTTTCAGGTTTGCATTTTAAAACTATTATTAGGCATCTTTTTACCAATTCTGCTTATTCGGCCAAACCTGAAAATCAAGCTTTCAAGACATTTTCTGAGTATTTTAAGAAACCTTCGAGAACTTCACGCTTGATTTGCCTGTCACAACATTATTTTTTTGATTGGTTCAAATAAAACATGTGAGCAATTTGGAAACCATTGAAGCGTTTTATGTAATACGTAACGCGTAGAAAGTAGTGTGTTTGTTTATAATAAATAAAAAATCGTACGAATCTGCTCGTACATTTCGTGATTTATGGTCACTCGTGATGTTTTGAAAGTTCTCGAATTGTACTCGCTTACGGCTCGTGCAATTTTGAAAACTCTCAAAACCTCACTCGTGCCCATAAATCACGAGATGCACTCGCCGCGTTCATACGATTTCCTGTACAAATCGTAAATGTGCGACATCAAAACGATAAATAAAGGAATTTCGCATGCCTGCATTTATTTAGTGATGTTTTGCGACGTCATCGCCAGGGTCGCTTAAAAAGCGATTTCATCGAAATTTCGCGTTATATTAGTCAGAATTTCTGCTTTCACAATGAATCACCGAAAAGATATCTACGTTCAAAGGCTAAGTTTGATCCCCCTCTCNTTGGAATTAGGTCTGAAAACTGCGTTTGAAGTTTGCAATAACCAAAAATCAATGTATGTAACATTTTCAGGTTTGCATTTAACTATTATTAGGCATCTTTTACCAATTCTGCTTATTCAGCCAAACCGAGTGACGTCATTTAATCACGTGATAATCCTAGTAAAGCTACTCCTTTGGCATGGTTATCATACACCAAAATAACCTAGAGATTATGTTGCGATCAGACATAGCTATGGCCGCGACACCTTAAGATCAAAGAGACGGATGTCCTGCCCCAAGGGAGGTCATATCTTGCCTAAGAGTGAATGGCCTTAGAAAAACATTTTTTTCATTTTTCCTCTGTTGCAATGTCAATCAAGTCTGAAATTTTGCAATGAATTAGATTTCATAACACAAGCACGCCTCCTGTACAGAGCTCTTGCTTCGACCTCAACATTTTCCTAATATGTCACCAAACGTTAACAGTTGTAATTATTCAGTATGGCCAACCACCTTAATCGGTACGAATTTCAACGCTTTCAGTTTTCACAGTATACTGGAAATGACACGCAGCCGATTTGTTTTCAGCAGCAAAACGCACAGCCACAAGCTGCTTCGTCTTTCGTTACCTCCGAGTCTAGAGCAGCGTTCTGTTTCACAAAAGAAGCATCTTCGGGAGACAAAACTTCTAAATAGAAAAAGTCTAGCCAAAGAAAGCCATGGTGCTTTGATGATGAGAAAGTGCTTTGCAGCCGTTGGGCCGATAGTATAATAATTATCAGAATGGTATCGTATATCTTTTACGTCGCAAACGTGCGACCCCAGCAACCCTCTGCGGTTAAATGCCACAACAAACTTGTGTGACAATTTATGACGCGACAAAAACAAAAAAAGTCCAGTGCGACCCATGCCTTAGAGTATACACTAATGACATCCCATTGTCTTCGTTCTGCGTCTTCTAGAAATTCCTCCTTAATAGATGATTTTAAAACTTCGAGTACTAATAAACTTAACACCCCGAGGGATGGTATGTGCTTTGCGAATAAGATAAACAAGTGTGGTCGCTAATATCTAACTTCATAACCACTGATAGAGTGTGTTCAAGTGACGTCATAAAATTCTCAAATCCAAAAGTAGAGAGCCCCTGAATGTTTTATCCTCATCAGGCATAAGACGTACTAAATTTATATCTGTTTACAACTTTCCAGCTCAATATCGTCCTTCATTTGGAAACCAGCGCATTTTGCATTTCGGAGTTGTGGCGGTGCGTGACATGAAGCTAAGATCGCGTTTGTCGAAAAATACACACTTATCTCGTGATTTCTGGCCATTTTAGGAAATAAAGTATTAGGAAAAGTGCTTGTGTGAATGTTTTTTGGTTCGATTCAGATAATCAGTTGTCTAGATAGCCAAAGTAGGTTCCAGACGTTTACAATAATTTCCGGCCGCCATATTGGAGAACGGCCTCCTTATTTATCGTCTATAATATCACAATTTCTTGACTTTGTCCACTGAATGGTTTTTAATGTAATTTTGTATTGCGTGACAATGCACACACTCTATTGTATCAGGAGTATTAGTTATGCATAGGTCAATTCGAAAGGACTGAAAATGAGCTGTTATTCTCGTTGGCTCCGTTATCAGTTGAGTATGACCAAAAACTTCCCAAACATCGACGATTTTGAAAGAATTGCTATCTGCACCTAGGTAACATGTTTGTGCTCATATCACCGACAAGGTAGAGCTTCCGATTAGAAGCTTGAAAATCGTTAATTAAACAGGTCAGGAGGAGAATTGGGAGGTTATACCAGGTACTGACAAGAAATGACCGAGAATGAGGACCTTATTTCAACAGATAAACATTCGAGCCTATCAATCATAAGCTCCTCGCATACTTTACAATTAAGATTACTACGTGGGTAAAAGTAAATCCCATCACTTTTACGACCGTTAATTTGTCTCGCGGAACTATTTCAAAACTCGGTATATAGAGTTCGCGGTCAGTATTTGTATTATTCACGTATATGTTGTGTTGCTACTATGACGATAACAATTTAATAACAATTTTTGAGCAGGGTACATTCACCACATCAGTGGTTTTCAGAGCGATCCTGTATCTTACTCAAGACTTTAAATAGTATATAATGTTGGAAAGGCAAAGAAAAACTACATAACAACTATAAAAAAGATAAACTTATAGAAACGAGATGAAAAACAGGACTTCGTACGATAAAAAAAGAACTGAAAGCGAGATGGCGTCGTTCGATTTCTGCTGCACCTAGTGCTTAGGTGAAACTTTTCTCTCACTGTTTAGGACATCTCACACAATAAGACAAGTAATATCGAGAACATCAACCGGCTGTTTGATTAGTTCGCTGGTATTTACTGCGTGATTGAAAAATTGTATCTGGGACTTGATCCTTCAATAGAATCTACGCATGACGGTTTCTTTAAAAAAAGGGATTGTTCACATGAAGTTGAATTGCTACCTGCACATTATCCCAGTGTCAAGTACACGACAGTTCCTTCCACTCACGTTCAACTACCTTTACCTAATAACGGCGAACATTCCTGGCATTAAAGGCACGTGCTATATTATCTGCTCTATAATATTGCTTAAAAGTTCATGGAGGCTGAAACAATTCTCCTGCTCATCATACTCACAAGAAGTTTCTGGGATATGTGCTTCGTTATGTTCAGACAATTGTCTTTCTGGAGTAGAGCGTTCTCCTCCCTGGTTGCATTCATAATAATTTTCCTCACTGTAACCTTCTTCACTGTGCCCCAATTCGTGTAGTTTCAGTGTTCTTACCCGACCAAAGCACTTGCCACATTGTTTGCACTGAAAGGGTTTTTCCCCTGTGTGCGTTCTTATATGTTCCTTCAGATGTCCAGCCAGAGTAAACGACTTTGCACACTGGCTGCATTCAAAAGGCCTCTCTCCTGTATGTGTTCGTTTGTGTACTTTCAGATTTCCTGAGAGGGTAAGCGATTTCTCACACTGATCGCATTGATACAGATTCTCTTCCGTGTGTATTCGTTTATGCAACTTCATGGTTACAGGATGTTTAAAACCCTTTCCACACTGAACACACTGAAAAGCCTTCTTGTTGGTGTGTATCCTGTTGTGGTTCTCTAAATCTGCTCGATCACGTTGTTGTACATTACCCACACACGGTATTTGATCAAACGAAGTCTCACACAGATCACTTTCAAAGGTAGCTTCCTTGTGTCGCCTTTCATGAAGTGCTAAACCTGGTTGATCTTTAAGACACTTCCCACACTGCTCACATTCAAAGGGCTTGTCGGTTGAATGTGTACTTCTACACTGGGTACGCTCAAACGGTCTTCCTTTTGCGTGTGTTGCTATATGTTCCTTCAGATGCCCTGCCCGAGTAAACGACTTGCCGCACTGGCTGCATTTAAAAGGTCTCTCTCCGGTGTGCGTCCTTTTGTGTACTTTCAGATTTCCTGACTGGGTAAACGACTTGTCACACTGGCTGCATTGATACAGATTCTCTCCCGTGTGTATACGTTTATGTACCCTTAGAGTTACTTCATGTTTGAACGACTTTCCACACTGATCACATTCAATGGGCTCGTTTTCAGCATGTACTCTTTCGTGCTCCTTAAGTTTGCTTGCCGAGCAAAGACACTTCCCACACTGGGTACACTCATAAGGCTTCTCCCCAGTACGTGTCCTTTTATGTTGCTTTAACTGCACTACCTGATTAAACGACTGTTGAGACTGACTGCATCCAAAACGCTCCCCAGCTGCAATTTCCCCGTTAATTTCCTGTTGTACACTTCCTGTCTGAACAATGGACGTCTCGAGCTGATCTCCTTCAAACTCTGTGTCTTCTTTGTGTTCTCTTTCATGCTGTAAAAGGCTTTGTTCATCTTCAAAACACTTATCGCACTTGTTACATTTAACTGACTCTTGCTCTGTTGAACGTGTCAGTTTACATATGTGTTGCTTTAAGACCCTTGCCCGACGGAAAGACTGTCCACACTGATTGCACTCAAACGGTCTTCCTTTTGCGTGTGTTGCTATATGTTCCTTCAGATGCCCTGCCTGAGTAAACGACTTGCCACACTGGCTGCATTTAAAAGGTCTCTCTCCCGTGTGCGTCCTTTTGTGTACTTTCAGATTTCCTGACTGGGTAAACGACTTGTCACACTGGCTGCATTGATACAGATTCTCTCCCGTGTGTATACGTTTATGTACCCTTAGAGTTACTTCATGTTTGAACGACTTTCCACACTGATCACATTCAATGGGCTCATTTTCAGCATGGACTCTTTTATGCTCCTTAAGTTTGCTTGCCGAACAGTAACACTTTCCACACTGGGTACACTCATAAGGCTTCTCCCCAGTGCGTGTCCTTTTATGGTGCTTTAACTGCACTACCTGATTAAGTGACTGTTGAGACTGACTGCATTCAAAACGCTCCCCAGCTACATTTTCCCTGTTAATTTCTTGCTGTTCACTTCCTGTCGGAGCAATGGACGTCTCTAGCTGATTGCCTTCAAAATCTGTGTTTTCTTTGTGTTCTCTTATATGTAATACTAGGCTTTGCTCATCTTCAAAACACTTATCGCACTTGTTACATTTAACTGACTCTTGCTCTGTTGAACGTGTCAGTTTACATATGTGTTGCTTTAAGCCCCTTGCCCGACGGAACGACTGTCCACACTGATTGCACTCAAACGGTCTTCCTTCTACGTGTGTTCCTACATGTTCCTTCAGATGCCCTGCCTGAGTAAACGACTTGCCACACTGGCTGCATTTAAAAGGTCTTTCTCCAGTGTGCGTTCTTTTGTGTACTTTCAGATTTCCTGAGTGGGTAAATGACTTCCCACACTGGTCGCATTGATACAGATTCTCTCCTGTGTGTATACGTTTATGTAACCTTAAAGTTACTTCATGTTTGAACGACTTGCCACATTCTTCGCATTCAATGGGCTCGTTTTCAGCATGCACTCTATCATGTTCCTTCAGTTTGCTTGCCGAACAAAAGCACTTTCCACATTGGGTACACTCATAAGGCTTCTTCCCAGTGCGTGTCCTTTTATGCTGCTTTAACTGCAATACCTGATGAAATGACTGTTGAGACTGACTGCATTGAAAACGCTCCCCAGCTGCATTTACCCTTGTAATTTCCTGCTGCACACTTCCTGTCTGAACAATGGACGTCTCGAGCTGATCTCTGTCAAAATCTGTGTCTTCTTTGTGTTCTCTTTCATGTAGTACTGGGCTTTGTTCATCTTCAAAGCACTTGCCAGACTTGTTACATTCAACTGACTCTTTTTCTGTTGAACGGGTCAGTTTGCATGCATGTTGCTTTAAGGCCTTCGCCTGACGGAAAGACTGTCCACACTGATTGCACTCAAACGGCCTTCCTTCTGCGTGTGTTCCTATATGTTCCTTCAGATGCCCTGCCTGAGTAAACGACTTGCCACACTGGCTGCATTTAAAAGGTCTCTCTCCAGTGTGAGTTCTTTTGTGTACTTTCAGATTTCCTGAGTGGGTAAATGACTTTCCGCACTGGTCGCATTGATGCAAATTCTCTCCTGTGTGTATTCGTTTATGTAACCTTAAAGTTACTTCATGTTTGAACGACTTGCCACACTGATCGCATTCAATGGGCTCATTTTCAGCATGCACTCTATCATGTTCCCTAAGTTTGCTTGCCGAACGAAAACACTTCCCACACTGGGTACACTCATAAGGCTTCTCCCCTGTGCGTGTCGTTTTATGCTGCTTTAAATGCACTACTTGATTAAATGACTGCTGAGACTGATTGCATTCAAAACGCTCCCCAGCTGCATTTTCTCTGGTAATTTGCTGCTGTTCAATTCCTGTTTGCACAACGGAAGTCTTGAGCTGATTGCCTTCAAAATCTGTGTGTTCTTTGTGTTCTCTTTCATGTAGTAAAAGGCTTTGCTGCTGTTCAAAACGCTTACCACACTCGTTACATTCGAGTGACTCTTTCTCTGTAGAATGTGTCAGTTTACATGTATGTTGCTTTAAGCCCCTTGCCCGACGGAAAGACTTTCCACACCGATTACACTCAAACGGTCTTCCTTCTGCGTGTGTTCCTATGTGTTCCTTCAGATGCCCTGCCTGGGTAAACGACTTGCCACATTGGCTGCATTCAAAAGGCCTTTCACCAGTGTGAGTTCTTTTGTGATGTTTAAGATTTCCTGACTGGGTAAATGACTTGCCACACAGCTCGCATTGATGCAGATTCTCCCCCGTGTGTATTCGTCTATGTAGCCTTAAAGTTGCCGCATGTTTAAAAGACTTGCCACACTGATCACATTCAATGGGCTTATTTCCATCGTGCAGTCTTCCGTGTTCCTTAAGATTTCTCACCGATCGAAAACACTGGCCACACTGGGTACACTCAAACGGTCTTCCTATTGTGTGTGTTCCTTCATGTTCCTTCAGATGCCCTGCCTGAGTGAATGACTTGCCACACTGACTGCATTTAAAAGGTCTCTCTCCAGTGTGAGTTCTTTTGTGTACTTTCAGATTTCCTGACTGGGTAAACGACTTGTCACACTGGTTGCATTGATACAGATTTTCTCCCGTGTGTAAACGTTTATGTGACCTTAGAGTTGTTGCATGTTTAAAAGACTTGCCACACTGATCGCATTTAAGGGGCTTATTTTTAGTGTGCACAATTTCATGCTCCTTGAGATTGCGCGCCCGACTGAAACATTTGCCACACTGTTTACATTCGAAAGGCTTCTCACCTTCGTCTGTCGTATTATATTGTCTTAGTTGTCTTTTCTCGGTCGACGTTTTTTCGCACTGATTGCACAGAAAACCTTCCTCTTCTGTGTCTATTTGATTATATGACCTTAGTGCCTCAGCAACTTCAAAGCGCTTGCCGCATTGGCTACACTGAAGTGAGGCACTCCCATCATGTTCTTTTATATGTTTCTTAAAGGTGTTAACCCAACGGAAACACTTGTTACACTGCCTACACTTAAACGGTTTTTCTCCTGTGTGTATTCGTTCATGTTCCTTTAGATGTCCCGCCTGTCTAAATGATTTGTCACAGTAGTTACATTTGAAAGGTCTCTCTCCTGTGTGCGTTCTTTTATGTTGTTCTAGATTGCCAGCCTGGGTAAATGACTTATCACACTGGTCGCATTGATATGTTTTCTCTCCTGTGTGGAATCTTTCGTGTACTTTAAGGGTTGCTACGTGTTTAAAACTTTTTCCACACTCCTTACATTCAACAGGTTTATCAGTCGCATGTATTCTTTTGTTTTCGTGCACTCTTCCTGCCTGTGGAAAACCCTTTTCACACTGATTACTTTCAAAAAGCTTCCCCACAGAGTGTGTTAGTTGATGTTCCTTTAGATGCTCTTCGTTGGTAAAGGACACGTCACATTGGTTGCATTGGAAACTGATGGAGATTCCTTCGCAACTAATTACAGGGCTTGTCACTACTTTAGTTGCACTCATTATGCTCCACTGAATAGTTCCAGTTTACTTTTCCGATGAGCAAAGTCTCACGTTTTCCTGGTTTCAATTCGCCTCTTAACACCACTTTGTAACCTACCGGTTAGGACACTGAGCCGCATCCCTGGCAACTGAAGAAGGCAAAAACATAAATATTCTACTCGCCGTTGTATACTACGATAACTTTTAACAAAACCAAACAAGGAAGGCTAACTTATTTTATTTATGTGACAAGTCAAATAATTCTCCCATTTTGATTGGCTCTTATTTATGACCAATTGGAGGACAGACGCATAGATGACGTCTTTAACATTTGTTGGTTTCTTTGGTGTATACAAAAAAGATTCCACGTTGCCGTGCGTCTGTTCAGTAATAGATCACAGAAGACGTCAAAATATGATAAGAACATCAGTGACACACGCAGCTATCGCTCGTATGGTGCTTTGTTGTTGTTACCACATTTTGACGACAACTGTGATCTACAGTATTACTGAACAGCAGCACGACAGCATGGACTCTATTTGATAAAATTATGTTTATCATCAGTTGTTGGTGTTAAGATCAACAAATAGACTCCATGTTGCCGTGCATCTGTTCAGTAATAGATCAGAGAAGACATAATCGTCTTGCGGTTCGTATGCCACTTTTTTTTTTCGTTTTTACCTCATATTCTCAAAATAAATGCTGAGTATATTGCTTTCAAATAAAAATGATGAAATCAAATAATGTCTAGTCTGGAGAGACTGTTGTCACACACAGGATAAATTCAAACTAAATGTCAGATTTGGAGTAAATCGTAAATAAACAGTGGGTTGATAGCTTAAGTTAACGTCAGGTTTCGATGGACTGATTTGTAACGAATAATGCATTCAAAATAACTAATTGGTGTAAAACAACCAATGTATTTCAAAAATAAGTGACAGGTCTGGGAATTCAATACGGATAAGATCTGGAATAAGATTAGGACCATGAAAAGGATCATGAAAACGATCTCTTAAAGGATCCAAAATAAGATTTGGAACTTGAAAAGGATTAACACTGTGAATAGGATCTCAAATAAGATTTTTGAACATGATTAGGATCTGGAATAGGATCTGGCAAAGGATTAGGACCTTGAAGAGGATCATGAATAGGATCTTTATTACAATCTGGAATAGGGCCTTAAATAGGATCTTGAATAGGATCTTGAAAGGATCTTGAAAGGATCTTGAATAGGCTCTTGAATAGGCTCTTGAAAGAATCTTGAATAGGATGTTGAATGGGATTATGAAAAGGGTCTTGAATAGGATCTTTAGTAGGATCTTGAATAGGATCTTGAATAGGATTTTGAATAGGATCTTGAAAGGATCTTGAATAGGATCTTGAAAAGGATCTTGAAAGGATCTTGAATAGGATATTGAAAAGGATCTTGAAAGAATCTTGAAAATGATCTTGGAAAGGATCTTGAATAGGATCTTGAAAAGGATCTTGAAAAGGACCTTGGAAAGGATCTTGAATAGGATCTTGAATAGGATTTTGAAAAGGATCTTGAAAGGATCATGAATAAGATCTTGAAAAGGATCTTAGAAAGGATCTTGAATCGGAACTTGAAAAGGACCTTGAAAAGGACCTTGGGAAGGATCTTGAATAGGATCTTAAAAAGGATTTTGAATAGGATCTTGAATAGGATCTTGAAAAGGATCTTGAAAAGGATCTTGAATAGGATCTTGAAAAAGATCTTGAAAAGGATCTTAAAAAGGACCTTGGAAAGGATCTTGAATAGGATCTTGAAAAGGACCTTGGAAAGGATCTTGAATAGGATCTTGAAAAGGATCTTGAAAAGAACCTTGGAAAGGATCTTAAATAGGATCTTGAAAAGGATCTTGAGTAGGGTCTCAAATAGGATCTTGAAAAGGATCTTGAATAGGATCTTGAAAAGGATCTTAAAAAGGACCTTGGAAAGGATTTTGAATAGAATCTTGAGAAGGTTTAGTATCTTGAATGGGATCCTGAATAGGACCCTGAATATGATCTTGAAAAGGATTTTGAATAGGATCTCTAATAGGATTAGGATCTACATCAGGTTGCTAAATAGGATTAGGATTCTAATCAGGATCCTAAATGTAAATAAGAGTAGGAACCTAGTCAAGATCCCAAATAAGACTGATCAGGAAGTGTAGGTTAGAAATGGGATCCTACAGACGATCTTGCATTCTATAGTTGTTCAAGAATCCAATCTGCTTGCAGGTAGGCAAAACAATTATGGTCTGATCATAACAGTCTATTTCATACAAAACGTGAAGTAGGGTGCTGTTGTTTTATTTTATTTTTTTTAAACTGTATTATCAAAGATCAGGAATCCCATTGAATTTTTGATGACAATGATTCTACATTAAATCCTGTTGTGACATTAGTGAAAATGAATGAAACATGAGTGTGCACTCAGGTGACCAGGAGTAAAAAAAATACACCAATACAAAAAGAGAGATGTAAGAAAATTCAAAAATGCCCTAAAAAATGATCACAGACCAGCATATAAAGAGAAGATTTGTGTTTACAAAAGTAAAGAGGTTGTAATACTTGTACGTATGCTCTCTTTTTAACTCTTTTACTCGTACATGTACATGTTATATGTAATGAGCATTTCTTCGTACATGTACATGTACAGTGCATATCTGTTTGAACAACCTTTTTCTTCCATGCCCACTTTACTGGTGATAGCTTTTAGTTACAGGTTCTGTAGGTCCTTGAGATATTGAGATATTGTTTGTTCCAAGTTCCATTATTTCTTAACATCCCCCAAGTACAATGTAATGTGTCATTGATCAATTTTCACTAAAGAGTAATTGACATAACATCATTTTTAAATCAAGAACATACATGTACCAGGGTTGTCCCTAACAGCCCACAGCCAGCAGAACTAATTGGCTACTTGGTCATACACGACAGCTACTTTTTTGAAAAAAAATAATATATATATCAAGGGAAATGAGTTAACCTAGTTTTTTGGTTAAAGTGGATAAATTAATGGAAGTAATTTTCTGACGTAAACATAATCTGGTTGCTGATACATAATTTATAAAATAAAATTTAAGTGGCGATATTGTGGTTTTTTGTTTTTTTTCTTTACTGAGAAATCACTGTGTTGTTGAAATAAATTCACTACATATCTGGAATCCACACCTGTCCTTTTTCAGCGCATGTTTTCTGCCATGCATTGCATGCAAGGATTAATGCACGCACAGATTTCATAACAGCACAATGGAACACCAAGCGTCATTAATGAAATACTTTGGAGTGCCGGGAGTGGAAACAAAAAAGAAAACAGGAGAAGTGGAAGGTAAATATTTACAAACAAAAAATACGACAGGTTGTAATAATCATGAAAGTCATAATTTCAATTTCCAGGCCTGTAAACAAACAGCAGCTCTAAATTCAGGAGTGAAGATGAGAAGAGAGATAATTTTGTGGCAAGTTAGGAAACAGAGGAAATAGCTGTTCTGTTCCCGTGGATACCTCTTCAAACACCTCTTTAAAAAGCCATTCACTTGCTGTTTATTTCAGCCACTGCTTCTGGAAAAAAAAAATCTTCCCCTTTCAAAAAGTTCAGAAAAAAATATTACGTTGTTCTCACAACATTTATCCATTCAAGACAAGGTAAACATCCATTTGAAAAAACCTTGAAAGACCAGGAAAAAATTGCGAAAGCTGAATAGCGAAAGCTGACACGCTTTAAAATGCTGCAAGATTTGAAGAAATCAGCCAATAGTCACAGTCACTAAGATAATCAAAATTTGTGCACAGAATCAAGGAAACCAGGACCTCCAATTTCAAAGCTACTCACGGTGGAAAGGTTTGGCAAGAAGATTTGAAGACATATACTACTTCGGGCTCATTTAAATCGCAACAAGAAGATCTGTTAGATCTTATAACCGCGCTTTTAAAATTNTTCCCCCCCCCCCCCCCCCTTTGGCACTCAGCGGTTACTCATCAGCTATATTAAAATTTTTCCAGCTACTTCAAATCTTACAGACAACGCTGAACATACTAATCAGAAGTAATTTAGAATGGCGACGTGTAATTTGAAATGTCAGATTTGGGCAGGCAGATTTTAACAAATGGTGGGTGCAGCATGAATGTTGCATTGGATAGACTGAGTTTACAGCCAGTTTCATTACACAGTGTGTGTAGACCTGCATTTTCAAAATGAAAGTCGCCTGTTGTGATTTGTAAATCATGCCTCAGATTATTAGTCAGCCAGTTTTCGTGGACATGGTGAAACCTATAGAGATACATGGCTGTATTAAGTTAGAGTGAGATTGCAGATGTGGATAATTGGCAACCTTCTATTAATAGTTAATATGCACACAGAAACATGATTGTGGTCAAGCAGACAAATCATGCTGGGCGAATCATGTTTAGTGACATGATTTGCCAGACACAATTCAACCTGCGTGTTTTGGTATTCACATGATGATAGCACGTATACATCATACATAGTGCTGGACATAAAGGGAAGTCATAGCAAATTAAACAAAACGCTTGTGCATTTGCTAGAGTCAGGTGACTATTGTGATTTGTCAGATCATGACTGCGAATCATGACAGCAAGATCAAGTGAAATTAATTGTCAGAGTTGCACAAGATGATTTTGAAATAAAATTACAAACTAAGTGTCAAGTTCGAAATAATTGCCAGGTCTACTGGTGCTGATTGCACATTGAATAATCAAAATTCAAAATAAATATCAGATCTGGACAGGCCAGTTTTGAATACACTTGACTCTCCTCGAGTTATAAACATGTGTACATGTATGCTGAACTCCAGCCCATTTTCCCTGGATTTTCCCTCATTTTTCAGCTATTGGTTATCTCATGTTGTTTCCAAAATGTTGCAAAATTCAATATTAGTATATTGGAAATCGTGGGATAAAATATATTTTCCTATTTCAATAATAAAAAAAAAAATTTAATTTTGGTTTAATAGTTGGACTGTATACATACACTGTATGTAGAACAGTTTAATTCTATAGAGACGTTTTCATTGGAATTTTTAAAATATACTTTCATTCAATAAAATATTAATATTTTCAATAAAATCGTGTAGTAACCTTAAACCTGGTTGCTTAGCTTAAAAATGGTGACTGCTCTGACTGACTGCATGTGGCATGGGTTTTTCTTAGCTCTTGCTCATCTGCCCAACATCTGCGAGTACAATGGTTTGAATGGCAAGATGTAAGATGTAAGAATGTAAGATTTTCCCTCAGCAGTAGTGATATTTAATCATTTAGACGTGACTTTATCAGTTCTTAGAAGTGTTTCAGATGGTGTCATAAACATTTGGCTAGTACTGAATACATTCCAAAAACTTTGTTCATGCATTTCTGAAATACACTTCTATTGGTGAAAAAGATGGAAGAAATGTGGATGGGAGCCACCAGTATAGCCTAATATATACACCTTATTCCAAAACGGCCACCATTTAAGTATTCTTTTGTTTTCTTGCAAATTAGCCCTTGTTGCCTCCTTCTTAAACTCGAAATTCAAAAGAATATTTCCCTTAAACGAGGCAACAAGGGCTAATTTGCAAGTAAACAAAACAACGCTAAGATGGAGGCCATTTTGGAATAAGGTGTATAAATGTAGGTCCACGTTCGGTTACTGTTAATGGGGTAGGAAGGTCATGATTCAGGAACTCTTGGAANGGACTCAGAATTTTTCTTTGTCCCACGCTCGTGTCATGTTGATTAATTCACCTTCACATTTCATTACCGAGCTTAAAATTCACCATCCTTATGAACTTATCAACAATCAAGTTGATGCCATTATAAGATGAACATTTCAGGCCATGGGGTAGCTTTATCAGGCAATCCTATATTATAGGCCATAAAACTAAGGTTCTTGGGGTACCTCTTACAAAAGGACCAAGTGCATGCTACATGTTCCATAAATTGTATAGATCAGGCTACTCTTCGATGCTCATGCTGCTCTTCGATGGGCAGCAGTCATAACACAGAGTTCACAGCACACTCTGGCAAAATCCTTGTGGCATATAGACTGAAACCACAGCCACTATGGTAATGCTGGATTTTCAAGAATGGTAAAAAAAAAAAACAACAACAACAACAAATTTGCACTTAGTACCTCTGTCTAGGGTCTAGAGAGGTGAAGAGATAGGAAGCTTTATTACAGTACCCTTATACAGAATCAAAGAATCATACATCTGTGAAGGGATGTGTTTTTATGTGTATCATTCCTCTTCAGTTTATGGTGTAATTTATGCACTAGACTGTGGAGAAAGGAGGTTTCCTACGAAGAAACATTTGTTCTTGCAATGTTTCTCTTGCACTACATATTTCTACCAATATAATAAATTTTGCCCTTGAAGAATATTGCAGCGTACCAAATTTGCAACCAGTGACAGCTGAAAGCAACTGGCCACCAAAAAAAAAGTGGGCAGATGGTATGATAAATTGGTGACACTCTGCTGATCTCACTATACATCAACAAATACATTTACATGTAGGATTGTAAACTTAGCATACATGCTGTACCATTGACTGGTGACAAAACAACCAATAACAATCAACACTTTTTGACATGCAGAACGAGTAAACAATTCCACAAAAACACACACTTTAAGGATAGGTCAATACCGATTCCAAATAGTCCATACCCGTGATACCAAAGTCACATCAGAAAATATCATCTATACAACCGAAAAGTGTTGATTCTTTTGAAACTCCATGTGACCTGGGCATGCTTTATCCATTCCTGAGCCAGCATTCCTCTGGTCAGTACTGAAGGAAGAGCACATGTTATGGAGGACTGAAATGTGAGTAACAAAGGTCAAGCAGTTAGATGTATTAACAATGTTCTCGTTGATAAACTGAAATCTTTGATTTTTTTGTCTGTGTTGTTGATGCAGCTATGGAGCACTGAACAAAAATCAACATTTACAGAATAAGACAACCTTGCATTTGGTCAAGCAAAACTGGTGACTTACCACTTAACTCAGTGATGCCACAGTACTGATATTGACGGAAGAGCACAGTTGTGTGCAGTGTTACGGAGAACTGAAATGTGAGTAAAAAAGGTGAAGCAGTTACATGTATTAACAATGTTCTCCTTGATAAATTGAAATCTTTGATTATTTTTGTCTGTGTTGTTGATGCAACTATTGAGCACTGAACAAAAATCAACATTTACAGAGTGAGACAACCTTGCATTTGGTCAAGCAAAACAAGTGACTTACCACTTCACTCAGTGATGCCTCAGTACTGTAGCGATATCCATATCAAAGAAACAAGCCAGTATCATACTTGGTTTGGCATCGGTTTGAAAAAACTGTACCAGCCCATCCTTATCATACTTTGTGGAGTCACTGTGCTACCAAGCTTTGGACTCTATCACTCTCTGCTATCAGCGACTAACAAGATCCAGAAAGATTGAAATGCAGTATTCCTAAGCATCAAGGTCACCCACCACCTTACGAAAAGACTACCAGCAGTACCCAAAAATGAGAGCAATGAAACCCACAACATGAAGCTACATGTAGCTAAACTCCTTGATATGGAGAACTCCTAAGAACCACTGCCTATCAAATATAGACCAAGCACTCGCACAAGTCGAAAAATCGATTTTGCTCATTTTTTGCCCATAATTGGCTCTAGCTAGAAAACAAACAGACCATAGTTAGTTTCTGCCAATACAGGTTTTTTTTTGCAAAAAAATTGCGAAAAACGATTTTGCCACTATTGGGCTCAAAATCTACTTCCAGTTTTGCTGAATTTTCTAAATATTTGATCGCATCGCATACCACACAACAGCTACTTGAGAATACTTCAATGATTTCTATATTCAATTCAGGTCTTCAAGGTACGACTGAACGAAAAATAAGATAAATCGAAGTTAGTTATGAGCCCAAAACGAGCTCAAACAGACACGCAAAATTTGACAATGTGCTGAAAGCAAATTATAGCACTAAAATGTCGCCATATTTTTCTATGGGCTATATGTTTAAATGCCATAAAAACACTTTCTATGGGTTAACTATACACCCACCTGTTTGAAAGTCAACAAATATCTCTGGGGAAATTGTTTGAACTTATTTTGGGTTCATAACTAACTTCGATTTATTTTATTTTTCACTTAGTCATACCATGAAGACCTGAGCTGAATAATTGTAAAATCCATTGAAAGATTCTCAAGTAGCTGTTGTGCAGAGTGCAAAGCAAGGAAATATTCAGAAAATTCAGCAACACCATAAGTAGATTTTGAGCCCAATCAGAGCAAAATCATTTATGGCATATTTCTACCAAAGAAAGCTGCATTAGCAGAAACTAACTATGTTCCATTTCTATTCTTATTAGGACCTACACGTATCTGTGGGCAAAATCCAGGCAAAATCAATTTTTTGACTTGTGCCATTTATCGGTGATTTTGGTCGATTTTTGTAGGCATTCACTCCTAAATTCTCAAATTTTATCGAATGAAAGTATATTTTATCAAATTAAATACCTGCATACTTTATTGAATAAAATTATAATATTTTTTGTTCAATAAAATTATTTTAATTAGAAAAAACAAATTTCCTTTTCAACTATTAAACCAGAATTAAAATTCATGATATAAATGTATTTTGTAAATACATGTATATTATTTTATCAAATGAAAGTATATTTTTGGGTGAAAATATACTTGATTAAATGACAATATATTTTATCAAATGAAAATAATTTTTTATCCAATGGAAATACATTTGATGAAGTGAAATCATGTTTTATGGAACGAAAATAAATTTTATCAAATGAAAATATGTTTGCAACATCATATAGTGCAACATTTTGGCAACCATAATCTTGCACTTTATTGGCTATTTCTGCTGAATGTCTGCTGAAACAAACAGCTACATGTATCTATGTAGACCTGTTACTGCATGCTTCAGAATGCTGGAAGACTGCAGAGAGCCTGCACTTTGTAGACTTTGATACTGCTTTTAAAATTGTTCAAATATCATTGTCATTCATTTTATTGTACTGTCACCTCAATTAATCTTAGCAAATACCATAAAGCCTTTATTACATGGATCTTGTACAGTGTTTGGGTAATGCATGACATGATAATTTGTTGTTGTCGCTTCTTTTTCCTGGAGTACGATATTAAAGTTATGTTACAATATTTTGTTTTAACCAATCTTATCTTGGAAGTTGAAAAAAAAAATTGAAGACACCAAAATACTGCACAGGCCTGGGTTTTCAACGAGTATGCTACGTAAATGTGAAGTGTTTGTAAATCTACCAACAAGCGTCTATTTAACAAGTGTTGTCATTGATTTTGAAGTGACACACAATAGTAGCAGTCATATTGATCACCTTGAAAGATGACTGGCTTTAATTTTATTAAAACAATGATATGGCACCAATTGGCTAGATCTTAGTAACCTCCAGGTACTCTCTGTCCAACTTATCTTCTATGGACACAAGGAAAGAAATCTGCTGTTTGTTCAGCAGAAGTTTGTTTAGAGATGTATAACAAGCCAAATGAATGTCTGCATAGGAGGTTACATATATATTGTCCCTGCCACCAGCGGCAAGTGTAGCAAATGTGTGACTGTATACTGTTCAATAACAGCTCGATGATGATGATGATGACGACGATGGTGATGTGACGACGACGACGACGACGACAACAACAACAACATTCATTCTCAATTAAATAAATGCTTGCTACAGTGTATGTCCTGGGGTCAGGGGGCCAGGATAAGCTCTGATATATACATGTAGGACTGATACAGTCGAAGCTCTCTGAACACCACGGGAATTGGAAAAGGTGGTTGTAACCAGAGTTGGTCACTTACAAGAATGACCTCTTGTAAGCGACAGTATGGTAAAACTATAGAGGATGGCCGCTTACGAGATCTTTAGAAACTCATTAATAAGTCATAAAGAAAAAAACAAAATAAATTAATCTTTAACCCACTGGCACTCAAATGAATTGTACACGACCCAATCCTAAATCCCTAGATGATTTTTTAACATTTCAGAGCGAGAGTGACTGCTAAAAATAAACCATATGTACAGTAACCTCACACACAACATCAGGTTCAAGAAATTGTTTATTTAAAGTTGAATAAATGATTAGGGCCAAAATATTAAAACAATATCAACAAAAACAAATCAACCTGATACACGTATGTAAACCTGGCAAGGAAATAAGAAATTATATTACTTCTTTGCCACACGACAAAATGCCCAAACAGAGGCTGAAAAAATTGAATAGGTGAAACAAATTAATTACTTGACTTTGGAGGACATTAGCAAAACCAAAAATATAACAGAATTTCCACTCCAATACTATAATGGCTAACATCTAAGAAAACAAATGGCAAATAAAAGCGAAAGATACAAGGACAAACCAATTTGAAAACAAGAAATCAAATAAGTTCTTCACTGTGCAACAAAATACAATACGTGAAGCCCAGGCATAGCCCAGGTATAGCCCAGGCAATCGAAGATTGATATC